CCAGCCCTCTGGGCGCATGTGGTTTAGAGCGCTTCTGTTGTATTCATAGGTTTCTTAATGTTATTATTGGTTCTCCTCCTCGACGTTCGGACGCGTGGCACACCTTGGTAAGGTCGAACGCCTGGCGTCTGCCCGGGTTCCCAAAGGATGTACAACCGATGCCGACCTCTGCCGATGCTGAATCTCGGGTGTACTCCTGGCGGGTGGGAGAGAGCGAGCCAGCTTGCGGAGTTCCCGTTGACAAGCTGACCCCTCCCCTTGGTCTGCAGGGAAAGGGGGGCGATGTGTCAGGGGGGCATTTGGGGCCCAAGATGGCACCGAGAGAGTCTCGGATAGTTCCAGATGGCCACCAGGATGACTCCCAACATACCTCGAAGAGGCCACGGGTCCCCCCCACGACGTCTCTAAGGGCGCCCCACGGAGACGCCAAGAGGCTCAAATCCTTCAACTGACTAAGGGCAAAGTGTGCTGTGTGCGTTCTCGCCTTTTCGCTTCCGATGGGCCTTTGAGGCTTCGAGATGGCTCCAGCATCGCCCACAGGAGCCACAAGAGGGCCGCAGGAGGGGTCCAAGACGGCTCCAAGAGCGCCCCAAAGAGGGCCTCTAAGCGGCAGCATTTCGGGCTCCGACGGGGGAGGCACAGTGAGGGCCCCATCCATCGCTCAAAACAGAGACGCTTAAACCACCTCTCGGGGGCAGTATGAGCCAAGATGGCTTCAAGACTGCTCAAGACGCCGTAAGATGGTCTCCAAGACAACGGACATATGGCCCACTATTTGGCAATATAGCCTGCATCATGCCTCCAAGAGGCTCCAAGACGGCTCCAAGAGGACTCGGAGCTTCCTACGGATGCCCCTGAGAGGCCAGCAACACTCAAACACTTTACATTTGCCAATGGTGGTTTGATTCTCGCCGTTTCCAATAAGCTTTTGAGGCATCACGATTGCCCCAAGATCGTCCCAGCCAGCCCGAAAAGGGGCCGAAGAGAGCTGACCCTCGACCCCTCCTCCACGGGCGGTTTTTGTCCCGAGTCGTTTCTGGACGGCCCCTGGGGCCTGGCAAGGGCGTTGGTAGGCCGAACGCGTCCAAAAACCTGGCGTGGTGTTTTCGTTCACGATGGCTCCTCCTCCCCCTGTCCCCCACGTCCTCCCTGGGGAAGGGCCGCGGCGCTGGCCGCGGCCTGGCGGTGCTTCTGCAGTGGAGGCCGAGCACGTCCGGAATCGATAAGGAGCCGCGGATCGGGCAGAGCAGCTCGTCGTCGTCCAGGTGCAGCAGGAAATCACAGCCGAGATGCCGCGCCTCAGCCAGGCACCTATGCACGAACTTGACCTGCCGGGCCATCACGGAATTGAAGCCGCTGGACAGATGGCCCACGCTCGGCACCACCCTCAGGACCACATCGCCCCGCTCGCGAGGACCCGCCAGCTCGGCACTCTGCGCAGCAGACAATGGGCCCTCCCACCTCAGAAAAATCGGCCGCACGCCGTGCGACAGGTGCCAGAATAGCCACTCCCGCAACCGCGCCGCCGGGCAGCCCCGCATGCAGGTCGCCAGCGCCACGGAGCAGCACCGGGGCAGTGCGGGGGCCAGGGTGGCCAGGTCCCCGAGGCCCACCAATGCTGGCTCGTAGCTGCCGCCGACGCCTCCGTGTGCGCGGTCCTCCGGCTCCGCCACCGCCTAGGGGGACGCCAACTGTACACCAGCAGTGGTCCTTGCCAGGTCCACTCTGGGCTCCTTGTGTATGCCCTCCTGGCTTGACCAAGATGGCATATACACACCGATGATGGGACCCGGATTGGCCTGGCAAGGATCGGCGAGGCTGTATAGTTGGCGCCCCCCGAACCGCCGTGGACGCGCAGGCCGCGCCTCCTCGGCTGCAGACAGGAATGACACCCTGGGCAAGAGAGACCTCTGGTGCGCGGCTTGCGGACCGCTGCGTGCGATGCGACAGCGGCGGCCTGCGAGCGTGGACGTAGGCCTCCCTTGAAGGCAACCCTCTTTTCTTGCTCTGGCAGGGCTCAAGAAACATCCGTTTCAGCTGTGTGCATCACTTGAGAGATTGGAAGCCAATAATTTGTTGCTTCATCCAAGGCGATCGACTCAGCAACAAAGCGTACAAGACACGCGCATAAAAGTTCCATGCGCAACCAGTGGCTCAAATAGCCACTCCTGTCCGCGAAGACCCCAAAGTCCAATGGTCCATGCGGCGGCCGCGCAGTCCCCTTGCCTCACACCACCGTCTGTTTGGATGATGACATGGGAGTCCTGTACACACAGGTTGGTAGGAAAACGTTTCTGCCACGTGCTTCGGCGATCCATAGTTAGATCAGCCAGGCCATCAGCTACTCAATTGTGAACTCGCGGGAACCATTGAACAGGGTTCTCATGGAGTTCAGGGGGCTTCCAACCATTGCACATGCGATTCAACATTCTTTCTAACACGCGAGTAAACAACGGCTCCATGGTCGGTTCACGCAGTTTCGCGTGGCCCAAAACCACTTGTTGCAGAGACTTTCACTTGATTGCGTGTACAAGCTGTCTCTCAGAAGAGGTCCAGCGGATCGTTGGCAAAGACAGCCCTCTGGATCGCGCCGCGTAGCCGATGCACCAGCGATGTGGCGCGAGCCTCCGACCCCGCCTGCTCTGGCCCCGCATGGGCGGTCTGGACCCCCGCGCGCCCCGCCCCGAGAGCCGCGCATCAGAGGCCGTCTGGCGAAAGGCCACCCCGACGCGCTCCCTGAGACCCGACGTCGGAAAAGATTGTAGCATGGCAAAAAATCAGCGCCAGAGCGCTGGACCCCATCTCTCTGCTGATCGCTCCAAGCAAAATCGGTCCGTTATAGCCCTGGGGCCCGAAACAGGGTGTAACCACCCTGAGAAAAGAACTCTACCGCCTGGATTTCATGGGAGGCCCCTCCGGGCGACAGGCCGCCCCGACGCGTGGTCCCAGGAAGAGGAGGTGAAGGAGGACCAGTGTGAACCCAAGACACGTCGAAGATGTAGCAGTAAACCCTCCCTCCAAATTCCCTCTCTCATAGGTTCCTACAAGAAATCATTTTCATTGCTGGGCGCCCCTCAATGGAAGACGACCGTCTGAGAAGCTTCAACAATACCAGAACACAATTCCTGGGACTTCAACACCGCGAACCAACGTGACGGTCCAATCCTGACAACCCTAACTCGTGCCAGAACATTATTCCTGGGACTTCAAACACCGCGAGCCAACATGACTGCTGCGTCCTGACCACCCTGAATCCAGCCAGAAACAAACGCCTGGAATTTCAGCTATACGAACATTGGAAACGCTTCTCACCTTATCAGACGAATGCGGGCGCTCGGGCGACAGCCACATTTTGAAAAACAACGCCCTCCATTTTGGAACCAATTTGCGCGGCGCAAATCGAATGTGCGCGGCGCACATGCGCGAGCCGCATTTTGAAAGGGCCCCGCCCTCCAGCCTGGAAACTGCTGCAACCGTTCCAAACGCCCGGGCGAAAGCCACATTTTGAAGAGGACCCAACCTACATCCTTGAAACTGCTGCAAGCGTTTAAGAAATGCGCGCGGCGCTCAGGCGAGAGCCACATGTTGAAAAGAGCCTGCCCTCCATCCTTGAAGCCACAGTGGACTTTTAAAACGAATGTGCGCGGCGGTCAAGCGAGAACAACATCAAACAACAGCCGCCCTCCATATTCCAGTTCCATTTTTGAGACGAGTGCGCGCGACGTTATGTTTCTTGCGAGCGCTTCTGCAACTTTAATGAGTTAGTATTCGTATTCGCACTTGTGTTCACATTATTGTTGTGAGTATTGTTCCCCACATGCTTCGTGGGGTTCTGGTTTTCTTCCCTGCCGCGCCGCACCCGCGACACTCACACACACACATCACTCTTCGTACAGCACAGCACAGCACAGCACAGCACAGCACAGCACATCACAGCACAGCACAGCACAGCGCAGCACAGCTCAGCACAGCTCAGCTCAGCTCAGCACACAGCACAGCGCAGCACAGCTCAGCACAGCTCAGCTCAGCTCAGCTCAGCACAGCACAGCTCGGCTCAGCTCAGCACAGCTCAGCACAGCCCAGCACGGCTCAGCACAGCACAGCACAGCTCGGCTCAGCTCAGCTTGACACGCTCGCAGAGCGTGGCAGTCGCTGCATTTTCTCGGCACCACTGGGGGCCCAGGGCGTTGCAGGCGTGGCACTTCCCCGACACCACAGGGGGGAGCCGTGGGTGGGGACGCTATCCGTTTCGGGCTCGCAAAGCGTGGCCGGCGTGGCACTTCCTCGACACCACAGGGGGGGAGCTGTGGGTGGGGACGCTATCCGTTTCGGGCTCGCAAAGCCTGGCAGGCGTGGCACTTCCTCGACTCCACAGGGGGGGAGCTGTGGGTGGGGACGCTATCCGTTTCGGGCTCGCAAAGCGTGGCAGGCGTGGCACTTCCTCGACACCACAGGGGGATGGCTGTGGGTGGGGACGCTATCCGTTTCGGGCTCGACACCACAGGGGGGGAGCTGTGGGTGGGGACGCTATCCGTTTCGGGCTCGCAAAGCGTGGCAGGCGTGGCACTTCCTCGACACCACAGGGGGGAGCTGTGGGTGGGGACGCTATCCGTTTCGGGCTCGCAAAGCGTGGCAGCGTGGCACTTCCTCGACACCACAGGGGGGGAGCTGTGGGTGGGGACGCTATCCGTTTCGGGCTCGCAAAGCGTGGCAGGCGTGGCACTTCCTCGACACCACAGGGGGGAGCTGTGGGTGGGGACGCTATCCGTTTCGGGCTCGCAAAGCGTGGCAGGCGTGGCACTTCCTCGACACCACAGGGGGGGGAGCTGTGGGTGGGGACGCTATCCGTTTCGGGCTCGCAAAGCGTGGCAGCGTGGCACTTCCTCGACACCAAGGGGGGGGAGCTGTGGGTGGTCTCCCTATCCGTTTCGGGCTCGCAAAGCGTGGCAGGCGTGGCACTTCCTCGACACCACAGGGGGGGAGCTGTGTGTGGGGGCGCCATCCGTTTCGGGCTCGGAAAGCGTGGCAGGCGTGGCACTTCCTCGACACCACAGGGAGGGAGCCGTGGATGGGGACGCTATCCGTTGCGGGCTGGCGTGGCACTTCCTCGATACCACAAGGGGGGAGCTGTGGGTGGGGACGCTATCCGTTTCGGGCTCGCAAAGCGTGGCAGGCGTGGCACTTCCTCGACACCACAGGGGGGGAGCTGTGGGTGGGGACGCTATCCGTTTCGGGCTCGCAAAGCGTGGCAGGCGTGGCACTTCCTCGACACCACAGGGGGGGAGCTGTGGGTGGGGACGCTATCCGTTTCGGGCTCGCAAAGCGTGGCAGGCGTGGCACTTCCTCGACACCACAAGGGGGAGCTGTGGGTGGGGACGCTATCCGTTTCGGGCTCGCAAAGCGTGGCAGGCGTGGCACTTCCTCGACACCACAGGGGGGGAGCTGTGGGTGGGGACGCTATCCGTTTCGGGCTCGCAAAGCGTGGCAGGCGTGGCACTTCCTCGACACCACAGGGGGGGAGCTGTGGGTGGGGACGCTATCCGTTTCGGGCTCGCAAAGCGTGGCAGGCGTGGCACTTCCTCGACACCACAGGGGGGGAGCTGTGGGTGGGGACGCTATCCGTTTCGGGCTCGCAAAGCGTGGCAGGCGTGGCACTTCCTCGACACCACAGGGGGGGAGCTGGGGGTGGTCTCCCTATCCGTTGCGGGCTCGCAAAGCGTGGCAGGCGTGGCACTTCCTCGACACCACAGGGGGCGCGTTGGGGGTGGTCTCCCTATCCGTTGCGGGCTCGCACAGCGTGGCAAGCGTGGCACGTCCTCGGTCCCACAAGGGGTGCGCTGGGGGTGGTCACCCTATCCGTGACGGGCTCGCGAAGCGTAGCAGGCGTGGCACTTCTTCGGCACCACAAGGATTGCGCTGGGGGTGGTCTCCCTATCCGTGATGGGCTCGCATAGCGTGGCACGCGTGGCATCTCCTCGACACCACAGGGGGTGCGCTGGTGATGGTCTCCTTATCCGTTTCGGGCTCGCAAAGCGTGGCAGGCGTGGCACTTCCCCGACACCACAGGGGATGCGCTGGGGTTGGTCTCCCTATCCTTGACGGGCTCGCAAAGCGTGGCAGGCGTTGCACTTCATCGACACCACAGGGGGTGCGCTGGGGGGGGGGGTATCTTTATCCGTTGCGGGCTCGCAAAGCGTAGCAGGCGGGGCACTTCCCCGACACCACAAGGGGGGGGGCGCTGGGGGTGGTCTCCCTATCCGTTGCGGGCTCGCAAAGCGTGGCAGGCGTGGCACTGCCTCGACACCACAAAGAACGCGCTGGGGGTGGTATCCTTATCCGTTGCGGGCTCGCAAAGCGTGGCAGGCGTGGCGCTTCCTCGACACGACAGGGGGTGCGCTGGGGGTGGTTTCCCTATCCGTTGCGGGTTCGCAAAGCGTGGCAAACAATATGGTGTTGGATGACACATAGGGAAACATTCGCGACGAGGGCTCAGAACGCAGGATTGCGCATCTATTAAAACATAAGTAAACACATCATATTTAAATTAAGTATGTGGGGTTCTTCGGTAGCGTAAGTACTGGTGTTTTTGGTATTGTTGGTGTTATTCGTATGAGTAGCGCTAACACCAATCTTATTTGTACTATTGCTATTACGACTGAGGAAGAACATTCCCTCTCCGTCATTGGAATTGCTGCACATCCAAACTTCAAATTCACATCAAAAAACTCAAGCGAAACGCCCGGCCCGCCGTACCGACACGTCTGGGCGTGCGACAGGGGGAGCTAGATATAGGGAGTATGGATGGAGGAGGGAGAGGAGGAGGAGAATCAGGAGGGAGGAGGAGGAGGCGGAGGAGGCGGGGGACGAA